TCAGACTTTACCTCATACTACTCTGCACAAAAAAGGAATGCCATAATCTCTCAACTAACACTTTATTCAAACAATAACAGCAGGTGTAGGGAGACATAAAATGGAAAATCTGATTATGCCCAACACAAAACAAACAGATACAACTGATAAAACTGTCATAAAGATGACAAATCATCACGCATTGACCATTATAACGTCATTAAAACCATAACACTGCTTCATAAAAATCCAGTTTGATAACAGGTATTAATCATACAGAAATTATAATAAAATAGATCTAAAGGACTGTAATTTTTTCCTTGGGTTGGTAGTTAATATTGATAAAGACAGGATAATGCAACAAAATTACTGTGTTATTCTTCTATTTGTCAAAGTCAGAAAATGGAGTAAGATAATTTTAAAGATGCCATAATTTTGAATTATGTGAATGATAATAAATCAGACGTATAAGAACATCGTGTTATAGAACATGGATAAGTTGAAAATAATAATTAAAAGAAAAACTAAATACGCAGTCAGTTTAGACTATGTTGATAGAGAATTATATATCAGGTAGCTTGACGTGTTAGTAATATGTTGCTTGGCAACCATCCTAAATATGAGAATGAATTCAAAACCTGTTTTATGAGCTCTGACTTTTCTCTCTTAAACACAAGTAAACAGCAATGAAATTCACAAAAATTTATTTGTAACTTTTTTCAAAATAATTTGACTGATTGCTGTGAATGTGTGACAAAACTAATTATTTTTGTTAATTGTTTCCATGGCATGAATGTACCGGTATTTATTTTGTATTTATACTGTTTACCATATTTTGCTACTAAAATTTTTAACTATTTGATCTTGACACCAGAGACCAACTCTCTGCTTAATTCTTCAAGAAGTTTGAACTGCATTCAAATCTAAGTTGATACATTATGCGACTTTTATTATTATTTTCAACACAATTTTTCCTGCCATATTTTTGTAAAACATTTCACATATTTATTTTTTTTTTAATATAATTTCTTTGTTACAGTATTTGAGAACTTAGTGGTCATTAATTACAAATGGCTACATAATTTGATGAAATAAAAATAATAAAAAAAAAAAACCTGGAGAAAAAGTTACTGAGAAAAACGGTCAAACATTAGGTAGGTCTATTTTGTGAAAAGGTTGCATAAAGTTGGCATTCAAATGTACATTTCACCATAGAAACACCAAATTGATTGCAAAATTGTTTTCCATAAAATTCCTAAAACTTGCCCAATGACAAGATTTTTTTTTTCATTTTCTGCATTCTATTCATTACATGTCATTTGACTTTGATACAGGGCCACATCACTTATAGTATGTAGTCTTTAGTGATTTATCAGGGATTTTTTTTAAACAGGGGAACAGGGGCACAGCGCCCTCATGCCATGGCCATACACTCCCTTACCCTGGGGAGCAGATCCTCTGGCAACCATATAATTCTGATTGACCAGTGA